CTTTTGGGATGTGTGTGCAAAATTTCAGGTCATTCAGACATCGTTTGGTCGGGTTTTTGATCGAAAGTGTATTTCGGAAGTTCTTGGAAACTTAGGCTTGAATTCGATGTGCTTTGAGTGATTTTGATGTTGTTTGAGGTGTTTTGATGATTGGAACAAGTTTGAGTGAGGTTTTAGGATATGTTGGTGCTTTTGGTTGGGGTCCCGATGGCCTCGAGTGAGTTTTGGAGGGTCAATCAGACCATTTTTGGTATTTTGAAGTTGCAGATTTTCTGAAGTTTCTGTTGCAGACTTTTGGCCTTCGTGTTCGCGAGAAGGCTCTCGCGNAATAAATTCCTCATACGATGTCAAAACTTGATGATTTCAGTTGTTGACATCCAATTTTGTCCCTCCTTTCTTCTAATTAATTTTCTTGAGCTTATAAGTTAGGCAGAATAGCCTAGGAAACACCTGTACTTGTTCTGGTTTGACATCCCGGTCCCTGAACTCCATAAAGTTTCATTCAGACACTTGAACTCCATCAAAACTAATATTTTAAACACCTCCGACCATGTGTGTTGTTCACTCTCCATGATATGGAGGACACATCAGATCCACCTAGATAAATACCATCCATATCATAATTTTCTGTTTATAAAATTTTCAGATCAATTTATTTTTTTCCAAAAAAAAAAGGACCGCACACCTTTTCTTCTCTCTCCACGTTTTTAGCTCTTTGCCTTTTAGCCATCAGCACCATTTTCACCCTTGAAAGCTCACAAATTCTTAAATGGTGACAAGCTACTTCTTCCACCCTTCAAGGTTTCCTTCTCTGTTTAACCTGCTCTTTCTACTCAATTTTTTTCAAGTTACAATAGTCAAAACCCCCAAATCCACTCAATGTACCAATCCAAATTATGCACCAAGAGTAATAATTCAACAACTAATTTTGTTGATAGCCTAAAATCTTTAATCTTTAAGGATAATGAAAAGAAAATATCAAAGGAGGATTTGAATTGTTTAAGGCCATGAAATTTGTGGACAAGAAGGCTTGTAAAGGTCTAAATTATGTTGGTGGTATATTGCCTTTGAGAAGCAAATTTGTTGAGCTCGACCCTTTTGAAAGCTCCAAAATTCATCAAAAATAGACACAAACACTTTAACTAATCAGATTTTTGTATTATTTATTTTCCTATTTGGACTAAATTGATGGAGAAATAGAGAGAAGAGGAGGCGGTTCTCTGTCATACTGGAGGTGGTAGTGGTGGCAGCAAAAGAAATGGCTCAAAAACAGCTCTAAAATTTAGGGAGGTTAAGGTGATGATGGAAGAGTTGAAGGAGGTAGTAGTGGTGGAGAAGGTGGTGGCGGAACGGGAGAAGGTCGCGGTGCCAGCACCAAAATGGAAGAGGTTGGTGGGTTGAAGGTGATATGAGTTGTTATACTTTTTTTCCTTTCTCTTTTTAATTTTTTGTCATTTTCTGATTTAGCCACCATTTCACGCTCACTATGCGCGTGTATACCAAGCATTTTGTCCACCTCAGTTATATTTATGCCACATCAGCTTGGTCAATGGTCAGAGGTGTTTAAAATATTAGTTTTGATCGAGTTCAAGTGTCTGAATAAAACTTTATGTAGTACAGGGACCGGGATGTCAAACCGGAACAAGTATGGGTGTCTCCTAGGCTATTCTGCCTTTATTAATTTATTATATCTATCTAAACTATATTATTTTAAAAGCACAAATCCCTATAAAAAATATTGATCAACTTTTTAGCTTTGACAATATACTTCATTTCAGACAAAATTGTAATTATAATTAATTTAAATATTTTAATTTTTTCTTGAAAAGGTATTTTAATGGTAGCTAATATCTAAGACTTTTAATAGCCTGTTTGGCCAAGCTTTTTTTTGGCCAAAAGTACTTTTTTTTTTTGGCCAAAAGCACTTTTGGCCAAAAAATTAAGGTGTTTGGTCAAGCTTTGGGAAGGAAAAAAAGTGCTTTTGAGAAGAAGCAGAAGCAGTTTTGGAGAAGCAGAAAAAAGTAGCTTCTCTCCAAAACCACTTTTTTGAGAAGCACTTTTGAGAAAAATACACTTAGAAGCAGTTTTTTAAAGCATGGCCAAACACTAATTGCTGCTCAGAAGTGCTTTTCAAACTAATTAGCCAAACACAAACTGCTTCTCACCAAAAGTACTTTTGAGAAAAGCACTTCTCAAAATAAGCTGATTTTTACAGCTTGGCCAAACGGGCTATAAGTCAGCTAAAAATTGCTACTCTAAGTTTTGGTATATTAGCAAAATCTTGGCATTCCTTGTATTTTGGTTAATTAACAACTTTCCTAGAAGTTTGTATCATATGAGAACCTTAAGTTGGTGAGAATTACTTATCAATTAATATTTATTCCCCAATAAAATCAATTATAACACATACAATTAAGTCCCTACTCACTGATTGCTTATTAAAATTTTATTAAGGTGGTATTTCTTTAAATACAAAATAAAGAATTGTTTCTAGAAACCAAAATCAATTGAATAGGCAGCATATGTAAATGAGTATTTTCACAGGAATTAAAAACTATAGATAGGATACACGCGCAACGCGTGTACCATAAGGCTAGTATTTTTAAAAAAGAGCTACGTTTTCAGCTTTTGAAGATAACTTATATTACTAATCAAAAGTACTTAGAGCCCGTTTGGGTTAGCTGATTTAGAGTAGCTGATAAGCATTAGGTGCTGAGAAGCACTTTAAAGTGCTGAAGCTGATTTAAAAAATAAGCAGTTACGTGTTTGGATAAAAGTGCTGAAATTAATAATAAGCAGTTGAAGAACTGAGTATACGAAGAGTTTTGTTTTAAAAAGAAATATTTTAGGGATAGAATAATAAATATTTTGGTCAAACCTAAAGTGCTTATAAGCTGAAATTTGATAAGTTGGGGGAGACCAACCTATTACTTTTGGCTTATAAGCACTTAACTTATAAGCACTTTTAATTTTACCAAACTCGTAGATAAGCCAAAAAGTACTTATAAGCCAGTTTGACCAACTTATAAGCTTAGCCAATCACCCTCTTATTTTGTCCTAGAGAGCTCGGCCAAACATATCAAATTCTCTAAAAGAAGCAATTTTCTCGAAAAATAAGAACTTTTGTTTCCCCATAAGCTTGGCGGAACAACTTGTCATAAAGCTATTGAGTTGCCTCAAGGTCAATTGAAATTTGAGAAATTTATATTTTAATATAACAGCCGATAAAATATATATTTATCATATATGTTTGTATTATATATATATATATATATATTTCATTTTTGGCCAGCTAAAGCGATTAATTTATATATATATATATTTCATTTTTGGCCAGCTAAAGCGATTAATTTCGACCAACCGGCTAATGCTCTTGACATTTGGTGGGGCCCAGTAAATTATATCTTGGGTCTGGACGGTGAATACTTTTCTCTGCTGGTCCCAAGCCCAACAAAAAGGGGCAGGCCTAGAAAAATCAAAGCCCGTCCCATTCCTAAAACCGGACTCTTTCACTTTTTCGACATTGCCACCGCATTATTTTCTTCCCCTTTTCCTTCATTTTCAGATAGCTTCAAACGACAGCTATCGATCGCCCTTTTGTGCTGACCAGAAAACAATGGGGGATCAAATCGCAAGAGGTGAAGATTTCGAGAAGAAGGCAGAGAAGAAGCTGAGCGGATGGGGCCTTTTCGGCTCCAAATACGAAGACGCCGTTGATCTCTTCGATAAAGCTGGCAATTGCTTCAAACTCGCCAAATCATGTTAGTTCTTTTTTCCCTTTCCCATACGATTTATCATTTTATTAAGATCTAGTATTGTGGTGATCGACTCCGATTCTGTTTTTTAGATTTTAATTTTCTTATTTTTCTCAAACTATCGTAGTGTAAACGGTGATATCGATTGCTTTCTTTATTTTCTTGTTATAATTTTGAATTGGAGTTGCATCCAAATGAATATGTGAGAAAGCCCGGAAATTTCAGGATGATTGTTTATGCATTTTCTCATTAAATGAGCTTCCTTATGAGGTTGATTGTTTGGTCCGAGTAATTTGTTTGTAGACCAATTCGACTATTACAAAGCGCTAAAATTATGTGTAAAATTTTGCTGGATTTGATTAGTTAATTAATTGTTGGAGCATTGCCTCCATGGCTTTGGTCTAGTGTTAAAGTGCAACAAGTGATGTGTGGGTTAGGGGCACATCAAATTTTGGAGCTTGCTGCAGTCAAAAGCCTGGGATATAAGTGAAGAAGGGTGAGGGCCGACCTATTATCCACAGAGTTAGAACCGTGCTCCACTTGCCCTCGGGGATTTCTCGGTTATAAAACAACTGTTGGAGCATAAGAAAAGAACGGCATTTGTATTATTTTGATCTTTTAAAAAGCTGCATCATTATTCATGTAAGGAGAGTTTTCACTGAGCAGATTTTATTTTCCTTTGGACATGCTGCACTTGGTTGATAACTTGCTTATAACTCTTGCTTATACCTTGCTGTATAGGTGGATTTTGATGATTCCGCTCTGTCTTTTCCTTGGTTGAATTAATTCTAGAAATGGAAAGAGATACTTCGAAGACAAAGAAAAAAAGCTTTTCTTCAATTAGTTTTTAAACTTGTATAAGATGGACATAATCGCTTCGATGTCGGAAAAAGTGAATAAATTTCTTAATAAGGCAAGGTCTTAAGTCCTGAAGGATCTTCAGGGAAAACTGTTTCATAGATTCAATCAGCCTCGTTGCATGGTAAGAAATTGTATACTAATTTCTTGTTTCTTGGTTATTTCAGGGGATCAAGCCGGAGCAGTATATGTTAAATTGGCTAATTGTCATCTTAAGGTAAGTGTTTGATCCTCCTGTAGTGAGTCGTCTCTCATTGATGCTCTTTCCTTTTTTCAGTTCTTGAAAGTCGTTCACTTTATGTTTGCAGTTGGATAGCAAACATGAGGCTGCTAATGCTTATGCTGATGCTGCTCATTGCTACAAGAAGTCAAACACTAAAGGTTTGTAAGTCACAGAACACTTATTTGATTCAGACCAGCCCTTTTATGTTGCATGCTTGAAAAGAACCACTCCAAATGAAGTTAACATCTGTGGATGCAAGTGCGCCCTGCTCTACGTGTAATCCTCTTTTCATTAGGAGCTTCTTAGAGGTTTCGCTTTTATCAAGTACGTATTAGTTATCTTGTACAACGACAACAACTAACCCAGTGTAATCCCACCAGTGGAGTCTGGGCATTGTTCCAAGGTAGTTGCTCTGCCATCCGTAAGCTGCTAGATGCTCTCCTTTATGGGTGAGCTTATTCTTTTTGCTATTAGAATGACACTTTCAATTTGTAATTTATAATAAGGATGTTAAAAAGATTGGAGAGTGTTGCACTGCCAAGTGCCAACTATTCTGGATATAGGCATGATTAGAATTTTTTAAGTCTCAAATTAATTAAAACAGAAACTTTTTTGAAACATTTGGAAACTATTTTGAGTTTATGTTAAATATTTGAATGCAGTAACTTTACTAGATTAGTATATAAGATACATAATGATTACATTGTTACAAAGAAAAATAAGTTATTGTATTTATGCATAACTTCATGCTTTAATGCATAATATCAAGAGTATCTACAAAATACTATGCATACAAGTTTACGCATAGCATCATTTATGATATAGCAACTAAAAGAATAACTTTGTTGAATTCAATGATAGTAAGATAGTGCACTCCCATTTAATTGATAGTTTATGTTAGTGCTCTCACATTTTTTTGTTATTTCATAAGATAAATATGTTGAGTTATATGAGGGTTGTTTCCACATTGATAAATATTAACTTTTTGATAGTTAGTACTTGTCAAAAAAAAAAAAAAAACACTTTCAGAGATTCCAAGGATGTTGCTTGGAACACATAATTTTGGAACTACAGTTAAATTTCTTTCATTTTTGGAGGTTTTGGTGGACATATTTTGGAAATTGAAACCATCAATATTGCTAAACACCCGCAGAGGAGAGAGAGAGAGAGTCCCAAGTAGACCTCTTGGTACCGTGCTTGGTTATATTATCACAGGCACACATACATTACGTACACGCACACATGTTTAATCGATTCTAAGTCAGAACAATATATTGCTTCCGGGGCTTTGGTTCTTGGAAAGGTAGAGGGTGAGCCCATTATCTTATATGGTACGGTGCAGGATCTGTGATAAGCACACATCACAAGTGGAGAATCAAGTTTTGGTATTTAAGTAGATATGGGTCCATTATTTAGTGAATTTCATGCTTAAATGAAAGATCATTATAGTATATATCAATAATCAATCTATCACCTACACCCCAACCCAAATTAGCTGAGGTTGATTATATTTATCCGGCTTATCCATTCTACTATATTCATGTCCATTTTGCTCCTAAAATCATATGCAGTGTAATTCAAATGTCACATCATTTTCGAGAATGTTTTCTGAAAAGCATCACATTGTTATTATTTTTCCATTCTTCTTTAGTCATCTTTAGCTTTAGCTTAAACAAATTGAATTCTGCATATATGTATCCTGCAGAGGCAATATCGTGTTTAGAGCAGGCAGTGAACATGTTTCTGGACATTGGGAGGCTAAGTATGTCGGCAAGATATTACAAGGTATATAATATAGATGTGATCTTTGATGTTTTAGAGGGCTGTTCTCTTGTGTTCAATCAGACTCTTCATGCGAGCACATGCTCTAAATATATGTTCTTGTCAGCTCAATGCTTAGTTTGTCCTATGTACTTAACCTGTTGAACTTCTTATATTACCAAGAAAGTTGACAGGTGACTGGTCTTGTGTCTGTCACTTTCTTATTAATGTTGTATGTGACCCTCACGACAAAATGATTGTAGAAAATGCAGATACTTTAGTTGAAGTATCCCTAAGAAGCTTGGTTTCACTGTTTGAAAGAGATGTAACTTGCTCGGTGTGCAGGAAATTGCTGAATTATATGAGCAAGAGCAAAACTTGGAGCAGGCCATCAGTTACTACGAGAAGGCAGCTGATCTTTACCAGAGTGAAGATGTGACAACAACTGCAAATCAGTGCAAGCAGAAAGTTGCACAATTCTCTGCTCAAATAGAAAAGTAAGATTCATTGTAGTTAGGAAGTGATATAATTTTCAGAAGAAAAAAAAAACAATGCTGATCATGTCGTGAGAGAATGATTGCTCAGCACTGGAAGATATTGCATAGTTCTCTGTCAAATCTTTGAGGTTTATCTGGTCTTCTTGGAGTGATGGTGAAATCAATCTCTTATTATGGATGAAACAAACAGGAAAGATAGAAAAGGGGTCAATATCAGTAGTTAGGAGAAGGTTATCACTTCCGAATTATGAGTGTAACTGTGAATAAATGGCATTTGATGAGTCCCATATTTCACGGTGTTAATAAAGTTATAAGCTGTTGTAAGCTGTTGTTTTAGCTTCTCATTGTTCAATGTATTATAAGAATTGGTTGTTCTCATACAAATTCGACATTATTTTCTCAGATATCCGAGAGCAATCGAGATCTTTGAGGAGATTGCACGTCACTCAGTCAATAACAACTTGTTGAAGTATGGAGTTAGAGGGCATCTTCTTAATGCTGGCATTTGCCAACTTTGTAAAGGTGATGTTGTTGCAATCAACAATGCATTGGAGCGATATCAGGTTTCTTTTTCAGCCACGAAGATTTCCATCCACAGACATGCTTTCAGTTAGTAAATATTGCATCTTTATCTGCAGGAGCTGGATCCAACATTTTCAGGGACACGCGAATGCAAATTGCTAGTGGTATGTCATAGCTTGCATATTCCAGCCTATTGATGTTATTTTCTCTCCTGCTTTTAGATAATTGTTGGCTCTGATCTTTGTGAAAATGGTTTGCATCATATCAAATCTACAAACTGCTACTATCATATTTCACATGATCCAATGCATTTATTGCTAATTACCTCCTAGTATTGCAAATGAACATATTGAGGTACAGTCACGCAAGGGCCAAAAACAATATAAGATTTCACTCAAGTGCTTATACTTGTTGCTTCACAGTTATCGTACATGTAATTTCTGAATATTACAGTAAAGAGCTAATTAGGGAGTATTTTTTCCAAGAACAGGATTTGGCAGCTGCAATTGATGAGGAAGATGTTGCAAAGTTCACTGATGCTGTGAAAGAGTATGATAGCATGACACAACTGGTAATCTTGAACTCTTGGCACTTTTGTACCAATTAAAAGAAAAATCATGTGTTTTGGTGACACAAACTACTATAGCTGTCATTCAGTGCCGTAAGCTAGTAGCATCTTCACCTACTCTTGTGAAGCAGTATCTGACCTTAGGTTCTTTTGATCTGGTGCTAAAGGTTGAATATTCTTGTGATTCTCTCTCTAGGGTGCTTAATTTAATTTTTTGTGTTTTATGTAACTGTAGCATAATCATTCATGTTTAACTGCTATATTTTTGGTTTTATGGCAAATATCTAGATATATTTCCTAGTTTCGGATAGTTAGCAGTGTTTTATACCAGCAAATAACTCTTTGGTTTGACCACCAGTATTCTCACTGTTGGAGTATATCAAAAGGCATGTTTATCTGAAGGAGACCTAGATTCTTTGAAAGTTAAGGTATACGGAAGTGGATGAAATTGAGGACTAGAGACGGTGCACTGAACCCTGATTTTTCTTTTTGAGATATTGATTTTAAGGAGGTAGAGGGCATGATTGTCAGGAGAAACTTGTATGAGAAGACGGTGCCGGTTTTATTATTTATGGGGCAGTAGATGCATTTGAGTACAGAAGTAGTTTTACTGACCTTCAAGCTTGACTTAATGCATTGGCATTTGAATTTGAAAGCAGAATTTGACATGTGCAGTGGTTATGCAAGTGCTACACATAGATAACAGTAGATAACAGTAGAATTCATTTGCTTATCTGGTTTTCTAAAAAACACTCAATCTTGAAGTTATCTATAAGTTGGTTTAATTCTTTTTGTTATCACTGCTTCGTGGATTCATACTTGGATGCTTTTTGACTTGAGCACGTATTACTATGTTGTAATTTTACACCGATTTTCTACAATCTACATTAAATATCTTCACTCCACAGGATGCTTGGAGGACAACACTTCTTCTAAGAGTGAAGGAAACATTGAAGGCTAAGGAGCTCGAGGAAGATGATCTTACTTAATTTGTTCCCCTTTGACCTATTGTAAACTACTAGTACATCCTTTATGATATTTTATTTGTACTGGTGATTGATTATTATCGTGCTTGCGTGAATGCATTTTATTTGAACTAATTGAGTTTGACTTGTCACAAGGTTTTAGTCTAATGGTCAAAGTTGAAGTCTTGAGGCTGAGAGGTTAAGGTCCAAGTTTTGTACAATTCTGTGTTTGGTGTGGGTATTTGTACTATCAATTATGTGTAAATAAATGTTCTCATTTGGACTAGAAGAATGAAACAAAATTGTGCCGGTTGTCTGGAAGTAAGAAGGAAGTGGAATTGGAGTTAGAGCTTCTTACACGACGATAGGTTGCAAGTTTTAATACAAGAAAAAGAGAGTAACGACTACCATTCTAATCTCAGATGATTTAGTTTCAAAGAGTTGTATGCGCAAGAAACAAGCCTGGTGCTTTAATTTTCAGTGGCAGATAATGTTAACACGTCCAAAGTTCTAGCAACAGAAGTATCTGCTAGTTGGCTATTTTGGAGTTCAGAGGAATATTTTGTAGTCTCAAGCATCTTCATTGGTCCTGTTTCAGTGTAGTCTCGCTGAGGTTTATAATTATCAAATTTTATGGTTGAAAGCCTTTACTATGACTTGAGGGTAGGTTGGAATTTGACTTCAATGAGACGTGCATTTTTGTTGGACAAGGGTAAAAACTTATCCTTATCCGGTGTTTACACTAAATCATACCAACTTATCTTGGTTAAGTGATTTAACAAAGTGATACTGAATATTAATTAACCATGATTAATGAAGAAAAGTTTATGTACAAATTACACACCCCATGCATCTAGTGGTTTGGTGTAACACCGGATGCAAATAAATTTTTATCATTGGACAAGTATGATATTCTTCCATCAAAGACTTTAAACAGAAAATGCTTTGTGAATTATTGGAGTAACTATGTCATAGATAAAGACATATTGCTAAGTGTGTCAGCCTTCATTACTAGTGATACTAAATGCCACATATGAATCTCTTTGGTAATAATGGAATTAAGAACCACAAACTTTGGTTATTGAATATCTGCAAAATTATGGTGTATAAGACATAATGAGTATAAAAATAGATGAAGTCACTTTCTTCGTTCGTGACATGGTGCACTTTCTTGGACATGACTGATCACAAGTATCTTTCTTGTTATTCTTCCCTTCTCCCCCCCCCCAAACCCCCCCCCCCCCCCCCGGTTTTCTGAAATGTATTTTTCACACTGACAATATAAAGTACACGTAATTGAAAGTATCTTCTTTCTTTTCATATTCATAGCAGCTAATTGATCTTAAAAGATAAATTATTGAGGATTAGAATGAAATAGATCCAAATGAAAGGATGATAACATTAGGAATTAGTATAGCCTGCCTACCCCTACTTGTTTGGGTTAGGCATAGTATTTATATTCCAAGCGGGGATTCGTTCTTAGACCGGTACTTGGTATTTAATCTTGCTGTACCTACAACTCTATCTGTTCCAATATATGCTACTGGGCTAAAAGATGTAAGAACTGCGTGGTGAGTCTAATGCTGAATGGTGGTCCGGGCCCGGGCCTAAATGGGTTAAACGGGCCGGGCTTAGCAGTCCCGGGCTTCGTGGGCTCAACGGATGGAACCAGCCCATGACGGGCCTAAGCCCATATGGTCCTGGGCT